TATATATATACTAAAATAAATATAATGTCACTGCTTGGCAGATTTTCACTTATTGCGGGTGAAGGGGGGCATGAACAAGGGACTACTTAATTTATTTATTTTTTACATTCTTCTCATAAATTAACTGTAATATTTTATGGGTTATTTATACAAAGTAGTTTATCTTGACTAACTTTTAAAAAATGGTTAAAGTACAAGTAAAATAACAGTGAACTTTAAAATTCCTTTGAGAATAAACTTCAGGTGATTAGTGATTTAACACTTCTAAACATATTTATGTCTGGAAGGGAAATTATTCACACATTGAAAAACTTTTTTTCTGTTGTATTCAAAGCTGACCACTATAATGTCATTTAGTAACACTTGATTGTTTCCAGAAATACACATCTGAGTACTTTCAAAAGAAACTGATTGTATGAATTAGCAAACATACACTACAAATCCTAAGAAACATTAACACATTTTTCAGAATAAACAGAGGCAGCAAACAAATGACTTTTTGTTCTTTGAGATTATAAAGTCATCTGGTCATACATGACGCTGCATTCAATAAGCAAACGAAAATAAATATAGACGTTTATGCAAAGCCTTTCTGATTAAAGTAAAGATGAATGACAATCTTCAAATCAGTTCTTGAGTTTGTTTTGTATTGTCCAAAATTTGAATGAGACATATATATATATATATATTATTTATGTCGAAGTTCATCTTCAGTAATCCAGGTTAAAAAATCCAACAAAGTTAAGTCAGGTCCTCTGGACGGTTTCTTTTTGTTGAAGCGTTTCGTCTCTCATCCAAAGAACTTCATCAGTCTGAGGAGGCACGACAAACTCAGTCCCATAAGCAGCACACTCACATAATGGGCCAACCAGTTTGATGGTGATAAGATGATTTCTGGAGTCCTCTCTCCCCCATCTTTGATGTTTTGAACCACTTTGGTCAAGTGGACGGGGGGAGAGAGCATACTCCAGAAACCATCTTCTCACCATCAAACTGGTTGGCTCACTATGTGA